CCCCCCCCCACTCCCCAACACCATCTAAATTGCAGGTCATTTCAGGAGAAAAATATCTGCCCCCTCAGCCCTCAACACTAGCTAAAAAGAAAGGAGTAATGAAAAAAAACACAAAGGAAGACAGAATAATCTGAGAAGCAGAGAAAGCTGAAGGTTACTTCAGGACACAGAACTTTGTGTTTTCAGAATAAAGGACAGACACACAAAAAGGCTATGGAAGAAAGACAAGCAGGCACAATAAAGCAGAAAAATCAAGCAAAATAAGGAATCACAGACACAAGGATGTCTCTCTCACTGCGAAAAATGTCACAGGGATGAGAGCGCCTTTAATAAATTATTTTAAAACACTCCAGGACACTAACATCAATACAGAAAGGAGAAAAGGCTGCAAAAGTAAATGCAGCTCAGTGTTGTGCGATGCTACACTTTCCAGCAGTAAAAGGAAGCTAAATTACAGTATCTTGTCCATCTGTTTTAACTGTGTTTTTACTTAAAAAGTTCACCGGCACTTAAGCCAGGGAAGTAACTCGATGTCATACAAATCTGAGGTCTAAGGATTTGCCATGCGACAAATATTCCGCAGTCACCCCTTAAGTGCGTCACAGATTTACGAGTATTTATCAAACACAGCTACTTGTCAGAAGTGGAGTTATTTGGCTTCTGCCGAAATGCAGGCCGTGTACGCGGTCGGCACAGGCTGCTTCGCAAACACAGTGACTCGGTACTCTGTCTGCCGCCCAGGAGAGACGACTGGGAGTGCAGGGAGGGAATCGCCACTATTCACATTTCACACGATTGAGTGGCTCCCAGCTGCTCCTGGCCAAGCGAATAAAACCAATTGTCAACCCAGTCGGCAAGCCCTCAGACTAAAGTTTGAAACACAAAGTTTTTTCAGCACTGCGACTTGTGATTTTTACGGTCTGTGTCCAAAAGACATTTAAAATGTGAACAACTGCTTAATTTATAGTGGCATGAACTTTACAGATTTTTGTTTGTTTTCAATATTATTTAAATAATTCAGATGACACCAAATGTATAAAAGTATATATTTTGATAATATGCAAACTAAAAAACACTGATGATAACATTTGACGATGTTTGGATATAGAAACCCAGTTAAGAATATCTAATTAGGATCAATAACGTATATCTTATCTTTAAATTAAATTATTTAAGATTTATTTTTAAATTTTAGGGACTAGAAGGGTTCTCTAGCAACTCTAATGAAGTCCCTCTATCCGACAGCAGAAGGATAGTCACAGTTACTACACACAGCCAAAGGGGACTGTGTTGCACCAGGCCTGTTAGCTTATTAACTCAAAGTCATGCCACTGAATTCTGGTCACAGCAAAGCTTTGAGGAACACTGACCTCAGCAGTTGCAAATTGAATTAAAAATAAGACCAATATATTGCACCAGACTTCTGCAAGCAGTACATTTAAAATTTAAAATACTTTTCATATCTCTATGGCTGTTACAGCTTCGGTGTCATCCAAACAAACAAGTGATCATATTGCTAATGTAAAAATTTAGCACACTACATCATACTACACTACTAGACAGCAGTACAAAAATACCACACTAATTCTGAACATTTCGAAACACCAAAAGCGACACTAGATAGCTATGCTCTGAAAAGCTCGCTGGAAGCTGCCCTTTCTAAGCGCTGAAACTGTCGCCTCCATAATGACTCCCACAGCCCCACAACTTGGAGGCCATATGCATCCGAGATCCGTGGGTCACCGG